TCAGTATCCGCCCTCCTACTTGATGTTCTTACCTCCTCCCTCCGCCCGGCACGTACGACGCGCAGCGCCCACGAGCGAAACGGCTCGCGCCAGCCGAGAAGCTCGAGAGCCCACCCGCCCAGCGTCCGAGCCCCCCCCCCTTGCGGCTGTCCGTCAGGCGCGGGCAGGGCCGGCCCCCAGGACGCTGGCCTGGTCGAAGTCGGGGCTCTCAAGAGGCGGGGGGTCAATGCAAGCAGGGGTCAGCCAGGGCACCGGATCCTGCAGGATCCTGCGGAGACTCTTTCTGGCGGACCCGGGTGAGCGAGCCGCTCGTGGCCGCGAGGCGGCCGCGCATGTTGGCTGACCCGGGTTGTCGAGGACCTGCGTTGCATTTTTTTCTCCTGCATTTCAGTTTTTTAGTTTCCTGTTGACCCGGGTCTGGATTGACCCTGGTCAGAGGGTCCCCGATCTAAGTCTAGGCCTCCGAGATGGGGTCCGAGCAAAGGGGGGGTCGGAGGATCGCGCCGCATCGCCGATGCAGCGGCGATGCAGCTCGATGCGGAGCCCGACAATGGCCACGCCGGCGGCGCCTATTCATCGCCGACATCGCCGGTGCATCGGCGATGCATCGCCGACGCATCGCCGAGGCATCAGCGATGCGGCGCGGTCGACCCCATCAAGGAGGCCTCTAGGTATCCTGGGCCGGTCGCTTTTGAGTCATGTCCCCTCTCCTCCGATCGGGGAAACGTAAGGCTCGAGTGCGCCGGAACTCAGGTTCGCCGACGCTTTTTGACGAGCGCGTCCTGGATTTTGACATTCCAGTCTTCGTGGAATGTTTGCAGCGGGAATTCGCGTCGCATTTCAAGCTGGGTCTCGTCATTTGCATGATGGCCCCGTCGGGCCAACCCGAGTCCACCTAACCCGAGTCTCATGTCTCCCCGATCCGACGTCACGTTTTTTCGTGGCGGGGGCCCCGGGTGCTCTCGACCCCTTCCCCGCAGTTGGTTTCTCATCCTCAGAGGTTGTGGCGGCTCGGTTCCAGAAGTGGGCCCCTGAGGGGCCGAACAGTGAGACAACTTTGCGTGATTTCCCAAGTCGCCAGAGGTATGCTTGGTCGTGTCTGCCTTGGCCCACCCTCTGCATGCTTATCCGCTTTCTTATTTCACCGCGCGGCCTGTCTTGGCTTGCCTTTAACCCCGTGGAGCACGAATTGGTTCGAGCGCGAGCTTCACACGTGCAATTGAAGGTCTAGCAGACACGTCCCGATGCTTCATTGCAGCGAGGGGGGACAGATGTTTGCTTTTACTGCATTGGTTTTTGCCGGTGGATCCCCAAGCAGGGGTGGCGTCCGTAGCAGCGGCGGGCTATAAAGAACGTCACGCCAGCCCCGTCCACCAGAAAACGAGACGAGCCAGCATTCATCACCCAAACTTGCGGATTGCTTGTGCACTGCATTTTGAACCCCTTTCCGGCTAAACAGTTAACTTCTCCAGGGGGGCTGTTTGGGCCAGTTGGGCCGTAGGGGATCTTCACACAGCGCCCTTGCCCTTGCTCCTGTGCCCCTTCTCCTCTTCGCCCTCCTTCCTCCCGACTGTAGGGCGAGCGAGCCAGGCGGCTTGTTGGTGACGTCTACTACCCTCGTCAAAATGAACTTCAAAAGTTGCTGGCACGTCATTTGGATTTCGGCGCGCCCCTCAATGTCGACACGCCGCCCCTTCAATGTCGGGGCGAGGGCAAAGATGGTCTGACCGAAGTTGACTCGAAAGTTTGACGTCGACCGACATTGGAGAGGCGGCGCATGCAAGCACCCCGCACTCATCGATACTCGGCCCCAGATCTTCCGACAAGCAGTTCAACCACGTCAGACATTTTTGAGGTTAATCTTGACGAGGGTTGTAGTCGGCTGGGCTGCTGGTGATCACGAAAAGCTTCTCCACGGGGGGGGGAGGGAAGGGTGCGTCCCGACCACGCGGCCTCGCCATCCCCGCCGGCACCCGCCAGGCAAGCAGGGCCCGGGGAGGACGCGCGCGGCCGGCTGCTGATCCAGAGGCGGCCGCCGCGCCCGCCGCCAGACCCCAGGGCCGGGGCGGCATGGCGCGGCAGCTCTCCCCAGACCTTTTGGCGACGAGGAGGAGGAGGAGGAGGAGGAGGAGGAGGAGGAGGAGGAGGAGGAGGAGGAGGAGCAGCAGGGGGAGGAGGAGGAGGAGGAGGAGGAGGAGGAGGAGGAGGAGGAGGAGGTGGGAGGCAGGATGAGGAGGATTCTAGGATTTGGGCATGCTAGGTTGGCCTCGGTCGCGCCCCGACAGGACGCGAGGTCCAGGCAGAGAGGCACGCGGCAGCCACCGACACGGACGCGAGGACGGACGGCGCTGGCGAGGCGGAACACGGCAGACGGACGAGCGCCGCGACGACGGACGACCACGATGAGGACGAGGATGGTTATGAGGAGGAGGAGGAGGAGGAGGCCCAGTATAGGAGGATGGGCATGAGGATGAGGATGGTTATGAAGAGGAGGAGGAGGAGGAGGAGGAGGAGGAGGAGGAGGATGGTTATGAGGAGGAGGAGGATGAGGATGGTTATGAGGAGGAGGAGGAGGAGGAGGAGGAGGCCCGGTATAGCCCAAGACGCAACAACAGTTTTGGAATACCCCCTCCCTCCACGTTCCCTCTCCACAGGTCTCTGCAAGAACTTGCCTGCGTTGCGGGAAGTGCCTCAGTGAAAGGCAGCCGTACGAGAGTTTTCAATCGTGCCGAACCACAGTACCTGGGAATTCGATGCTGCTGCGAGTCGAGGTGACTGCAGCGTCCAGCCACTCCCAAGTCTTTCCAGAACACCGTTCGTGGAACTCCAGCACTGCGAATCACCGTGAGTATTGCGTCCTGACCATCGTGAATCGCGTCAGAAAGCCATTCCTGGGATTGCATGCCTGCGACTCGTTTAAACTGTTGCAAACTTTTAAGGCGAATATGCGCGGCGCCCAAGGCGAGAACAACCTTTTGAAAAGGAGCCGCCCTCCATCAGTAAAGCTGTTGCGCACTTTGAAGTCGAATGCGCGCTGCGCCAAGGCGATAATAAAATTGCGAAGAGGAGCCGCCCTCCAGTGAACATGTTGCAAATTTGTAAGGCGAATGTGCACGGGGCCAAGGCGAGAGCAACATTTTGAAAACCAGCCGCCCTCCATCCTTGAAGCTCTTGAGCTCCAAAGTCATGAGTGGTGAGGAGGTCTGAAGCGAAACGCCAGGCCCACCCTACCGACACGTTTGGAGGTGCGACAGAGATGATTGTTTACAGCGAAGATGGGGGAGGAGGAGGAGGAGGAGGAGGAGGAGGAGGAGGAGGAGGAGGAGGAGGAAGAGGAGAAGAGGAGGAGGAGGAGGAGGAGGAGGAAGAGGAGGAAGAGGAGGAGGAGGAGGAGGAGGAGGAGGAGGAGGCTCGGGGGTGGGTGGGCATCGGCCCCCAGTCGGCCAGTCATCGTCTATAGGGGGCTCGATCGCCCACCCCGCGCACGAGCGCGCGGCGTCGTTGTGAGGGGGCTGATCGCCGACGCATCGGCGACGTATCGCCGATGCGTCGGCGACGTATCGCCGATGCGTCGGCGACGTTTCGCCGATGCATCGGCAACGTATCGCCGACGCATCGGCGACGTATCCCCGCCGAGCGGCCCCCCCTCACCCCCCCCGAGTTGCCCCTCAGGGAGGAGGCAGGAGCAGGCGAGGCGAGGCGAGCAGCAGCAGGAGGGAGGGCGAGGAGCGAGGAGGAGGGGCGACGGTGACGACGTCGAACGTCTGAGGCTCTGTGGCCTGGCTCTCCCGATCGGGGCCCTGCCCAGCCGCGCAGTTTTCGAGCGCGTGCGGAGCGCGCGCGCGTGCTTGCAGCCATCGTGCGCGCCTCAGCTCGCAGCTCTCCACCGCGCCGATCCTGGCCAGGAGGCCTCTGGCACCGATCCTGGGCCAAGTCTCACGAGAAGGCGTGCCGAGACAGCGGCAGCTGGACCTCGGGGAACCTTGCGTCGCCACGGCTCGACGCAGCACGGGGAGCTTGTGCGTCTGGGCCCCGGGAGGGTTACGGGGACCAGTTCGGAGCTGCCGTTGTCTCCAATCGCCCTCCTCCGACAAGCGGGCTGCGCCCTTCGTGGGTGGGGCGGGGGTGCCAAGCCCCAGCGCGCAGGCCGCTCACGTCGACGGGGGATGCGCCCCCCGATCCCTCAGTTCGTCGCCAAGAAAGTGCAGCATCGCAGAAGATCACCGCCTGAGTCCAGGACCCCATCTTTCTGCGCCACTTTCCTTTAGGCCTCTTCGATGGGGTAGGAGAAGATGAGGTCGGAGGATCGCGCCGCATCGCTGATGCATCGGCGATGCATCGACGATGCGGCTCGATGTGGAGCCCGTGTTTCCCCACGCCGACTTCGCCGATGCATTGCCGACGTCGCCGATGCATCGCCGATGCATCGCCGATACATCGCCGATCTATCGGCGATGCGGCGCGATCTTCCGCTAGGAGGCCTCTGTTCCCGCGACAGATCGATATGTGAGGGCCCCAGGGCCCGCAATGGGGCGAACACTAAAACTAATGCCAGGCATCGACGGCCTCGGCCTGGCAGCGCCGCCCTTCGGGTGGCGGCCCGGCGGCCCCTGACGCTCGCCGGCCTCGACGAGGTGGCCGTGCGGTGGCAGGAGTGCGTGCAGGCCGCGTGGCCCGAGGCGGTGCCCGCCCGTCGCGCTTGAGCCGCCGCCGTCGCCGCCCGTCGCCGCCGCCTGCGCGGCGCAGAGAAGCGGGTTCGACTGCGCGGAGCCCAGGCCCCCGCGAGTCATGAGAGAATCTTCATGGCCTTCCGCATGGGGTCCGAGTAGATGGGGTCGGAGGATCGCATCGCATCGCAGATGCATCGGCGATGTGGCTCGATGCAGAGCCCGATTTTCTCCACTCCGACGTCACCGATGCATCGGCGACGTCGCCACTGCATCGCCGATGCATCGGTGATGCATCGCCGATGCGGCGCGATCCTCCGACCCCATCTGCTCGGACCCTGTCTAGAATGCCTCTAGAAGCGGGTTCGACTGGCGCGGCTCGAGCCATGAGAAAATCACGACGGGAGGTGTTTCCGATTTTCGGTCGCCAGTGGCCCTCGCCGGGCCTTTGGGGCGTCAGAGAGCGAGTGAGGATGGATGACAAGCCAGTCCCGGAGACTGGGCCGAGAGCTCATGGGGGCCGACTTTGTCACAAAGCCATGACGTCGCGGGTCTGAAAAAACGGGTTCGACTACGCGGACGCTCGCGCGTACGAGGACAGCGCTTGATTTAATCCCCAGGCGATCCCAGGCGTTACCGGGGGGGGAGGGGGGAGGGGGAGGGGGGCCAGTGACCTCACGTTTGGCGCCGGCGCCGTCTGGGGATGTCTGGGAACAGCCAGAGGCAACGCGGAGGTCAGCACGAGTCTTAAGTCGGGCCTGTCCCTCTACAGGGAGAATATTCAAAAATTGAAAAAATAGTCGGGGGACGATTTTGTTTGTACTATTTGGGGGCATTTTTTGAATACGTTTGGGGTGTCTTTTAAATTTGTCGCCCGAGATCCCCCTGTAGGGGGACAGGCCCGACCTAACACGAGTCGTGACGTCACCTGGGTGCAAGGGGGTGGGCGGTGGGGCCTGCGGCGGCCGCTGCCACGAGAGATGATGTGCAGGGCTCTGAGGTTGCCTTCCGCGTGAGGTCGCGCGTCAGGGCCCTCCCCGGTTTCCGGCGCGGCCGGCCGCGCTGGCGTCCCGCGCAAGCCGCCGCGCAGGGGCGCGGTGTCGTCTCGCCTGGGGCCCGTGTCCTCTCGTCGCTCACTCGTCGAAGTTTTGGTATCACTCGGACGTGTGCAGTTTTTCTTGGCGGGGATTATTGAGGAGCATCCTGGATCATCCTGCGAAAAAACCACGCACGAGACCGAAAAATGCACAGGGAATGCACGTCCGAGCGATGGCCAGAGGTCGCTGCCGCCGCAGGCGTCGTGGTCGTCGTGGGGGCGTCGTCGCCCTCGTCGCCGTCGCCTGTCGTCGCCGCCGCTCGGGCGGAAGCAGAGGTGCTTGGCCTTCGCGGGGCCCCCTGGTGGCAACGGCGGGACGCAGCGCGGAGACCTGGTGCGTTTGGGCCCCGGGAAGGGTCCTGGGACCGGTTCTGAGCTGCCGTTGTCTTGATTCGCCCTGCTCCGACTAGGGGTGGTGGTGGTGGTGGTGGTGGTGGTGGTGGTCGTCGTCGTCGTCGATGTCCACGTCATCGCAGTCGCAATCACGGTCGTCAATGTGCGTCGTCGACACATTGTCATCGTCTTCGCTGTCGTCGTCGCGCTCTCCGTTGTCGTCGTCGTCGCCCATGGATTGTGGTCGCGGGGTGCCATAGAGTGGTCGTTTTCGAGGTAACAGCAAAATGCAATTTCAGTAGGTGGAACATAGGTTTCTGGTGGGTTTTGTAACATAAAGTTTGAATATATATATATATATATGGAATAGGAACGTTCAGTTGGTTCTGGTTTCTTGGGGTTGTAGAATAGGGGGCCCTTCTCGGCTCGATGCTACAGCAGCGGCTCCTGGGTGGTGCGTGCGAGCGAAGAACGCGGAAGTCTCAGTTCGGCTTCCGCCCGAAGCGCGGCGCGTCGGAAGCACTCATGCAGGTCTGGGGGATGGCGAGCGCAGCTCGCATGAACAATGGGGGGGGCCTTGTTATTGCAACGATTGGACTGGGCGAACATTTTCGATCGCTCGATGCCTGACGGCATGCGCGTGGCCCTAGAACGGTGAGCTGCCAACGCCAATCGTCAACGTGAGCGTGGAATATTTGCAGAGCTGCATTTTACTGTAGTCGGCCACTGCGGGACATCAGCGTAGAGGAAGCACTCCGCAGGTACCGCCCACGGTTGCCCTCTAAGCCCCTGTGTCTTCATCGCTGTCGAAAGTGTAATGCTGCTTGACGCCTTGGACGCGCTGGACCTACTGCCAGAGCCAGAGTCTGTGGGCTCCCGGGGCTCTTTGATCGCGCGCCATGCTCTCTTGGGGTCGCAACGCCCCTGGGATACTCAACCTATGCTTGAATCCATTGTGCGGGAAGTGCGTGCATATAGCATGGGAGTGAAGTGGTGTAGGACATTGCAGATGAGAATATCGTCGACAATGGGCCTGCCGCTGACAGGGGAAGTACGGAGTTTCATGGGGGCATCCGTCAGGGAAGCATTTTTGGGGCGGGCTAGTATCTCGAGTTGACTCGGAGGCGGGGGGAGGGAGTGGGCATCTTCAAGCAGCTGCAACAACTGTGGTCTCATTCCGCCACTGGGTGGAACAAGGGAAATACAACATGTACACCGCCTGCGTTTGGATCAAGGCGGGCATTATTTGGATTCTATGTGGCCTGTCAAAGCCGATCGAGCGCGATAAGACGCTTTTCGTTGCAACTGCGTTCAGAAGATATGGGGTATCCCGCCTTCGCGGCAGTGGCAGCGATGAGATGCCTCGGTGTACGAGCCTTTTTTTGTTCGTAGTTCCCTGTAGGGCTCCTAGCGGATTCATACGGTTAAGTTAGGTGTGCCGCCGATTTCGGTGGCCGGGCCGGGTGCCCAGGTGCCCGGGTGCCCAGGGGTGCCGGGGTGCCCGGGGGTGCCCGGGTGCCCAGATTCTCGGTCGCCCTACAGCCTTATAGCCCTATATCTCTATAGCCCTATAGCCCTAATATATCTATAGCCCTATAGCCCAATAGCCCTATAGCCCTATAGCTTTACAGTATAGCCTTATAGCCCTATAGCCCTATAGCCCTATAGCCCTATAGACCTATAGTCCTATAAGCCTATAGCCTAATAGCCCAATAGCCCAATAGCCCAATAGCCTAAACGTACTATAGCCCGATAGCCCTATGGACCTATAGCCTCATAGCCCTATAGCCTCATAGCCCAATAGCCCTATAGCCCTATCGCCCCATAGCCCTATAGCTCTATAGCCCTATAGCCCTATTGTCCCATAGGCCTATAGGCCTAACAAGTAATGTTTGGGTATTTCTCCGGTACCATAAGTCTCCCTTCTCTCTCCTCTTCCTCCTCCTCCTCTTCCTCCTCCACCTCCTCCACCATTTCTTCCTTCTGTCTCGCAGCTTGTATGAATTCTTCGTAGTCGGGCGCTCCATCTTCTGCGTCACAGTCGTGGTGCGCTCCGTCTTCTGTTTCTCTTTCCGAAATTTCCGAAGGATTGCCAATCGTGTGCTCTTCTGTCCGCGCGTCCTTCCAGCTGCTTGGCTCTGTGGTGGTTTTGTTTTTCAACATGCGGTTTTCACTTTAGCGCCTTTCGTCAATAGTTTCGCGGGCGGAGCGCGGACTCTTTTCAATGTGTGGCTATCTCCTAGGCGGTGCGCACGTTCTTGTTACAAGTTCGTCATATGCTCACATGTTCTTATGGCGGAAGTTCCAGAATAAAAGAAGGTGTTTTGGCTCGCCTTAGGGTTGTCAGGACGCAACAGTTACACTGATTCGCGGTGTGCTGAAGTCCCGGGAATGGTGGTGGGGGACGACCTTGGACGGTCAAGACGCAGCCATTTTGAACCGCAGCTTTGAAGTCCCAGGAAGGGCATTTGTCACTGTTGATGATTCTCGGATGGTGGTTCTCTAATTCGACTTTTCTCGCAATGAACCTCATGGGGCCCACGAGTAGGGATTTTGTAGGGAGGGTGTGTTGCAGCATCGTGGATGCGTCCTGAGTTTGCACTGGACCTCCTCATCCCCCTCTTCCTCCTCCTTGTCCCGTTCCTCCTTCTCCGCCTCGTCCTCCTCCTCCGCCTCCTCCTCCTCCTCTACATCTCCCTCGTCCCAATTATCTTTCTCCTCCTCATCCTCCTCCTCGCCTTCGTCTGGCTCCTTCTCTTCCTAGTCTTTCTCCTGGTCATCGTCCCCTTCCCAATCCTCCTCCTCCTCCTCCACCTCCTCGTCCTCCTCCTCGTCTCCCTTCTCCTCCTCATCCGTCTCCTCCTCTCCTCCCCCTTCCCCTCGTCCCCCGCGTCCTCCTTCTCCTCCTCTTCTTCCTCCTCCTCGTCCCCCATTCAGGGGTCTGCCCCAAAGCCCTTAGCAATCTGAGCGATCCAGGAGGAAAAGCAGCATCCTCATGTGAAGTTGCAGGTGAATCATTCGTATCGCTACGCATAGTCTCCAGAGTCTCCCCTCCTCCTTTTTCCCCTCCTCCTTCTCCGCCTCCGCCTCCTCCTCCTCCTCCTCCTCCTCCTCTTCCTCATCCCATCCCCCCCACTCCGCTCACCCGCTTCTCTGGCCTCCGCCGCCCAGGGACCCTTTGTTCTGCCGCCCGTCACGGAGCCAGCGGCGCCCCCGGCGGATGCGTACCCAGACGTGCCTGCCTACGACAGCGATTGCCAAGGCGTTCCCCGCCGTCTTTGTATTGGGGAGGAGGCGGGGGAGGATGACGGTGATGGTGATGGTGGTGGTGATGGTGATGATGGTGGTGGTGGTGGTGGTGGTCGTGGTGGTGGTGGTGGTAGTGAAGGTGGTGATGGTGAGGAGAAGGAGGAGGAGGGGGAGGAGGATGGGGAGGAGGAGGGGGAGGAGGAGGAGGAGAAGGAGGAGGAGGAGGAGGAGGACGAGGAGGACGAGGAGGACGAGCCGGACGAGCCGGAGGAGGAGGACGAGGAGGAGGAGGAGGAGGAGGAGGAGGAGCCGGAGGAGGGGATATTATATTATGGACGCGGACGAGCAGGGGAGGGCGAGGAGGAGAGAGTGAGGAGGAGGGAGAGGACATGGACTGCTTGGACTGTTGTTTTTTGATTTGATTGTGAGTGGATCCAGTTGGCCCCCAGGGCAAGAGACTGGGACGTCCCGTATGCCATCACCCACGGGGGCCAGTTGCTGCCCCGAGCGCCATGCGGACACTCCCGCCGCGGCCTTGCGTGGCCGCGGCCCGTTGCAGCACCAGGAATCACCACCTACCCAAACCACCCCAACCCAACCCGAAGGCCCCAATTTGCCCTTCATTCCCAGTGGGAGGGGGGCGTCGGAGAACATGGGAAAACACACATATGTGAAACCCGTACTCCCCCCAAGCCCGAAACTTGGATCTTCGAGTTAGGCTGGGGTGGTCTGGTAGGCAGTAAGGCCTCGAGGACAGCAGCACGGAGCACGACTCCCGGACCTGGCCGCTGGGGTGGAGAGGAGGGCGTGTTGTCACCCTGGCTGCCCTGATACGCCCGTTTTGAAACGCAGCACGTGCCGTGTTCAAAACGTCCGTGTTAACACGCTCCGTGTTGGGCCAACGTGTTCGCACACGTTTAAGCGAACGTACCGCGCCAAACGTACGTCTCCAGTATACCTATTGAGTTCTGTGTCGACACGCTACGTGCTGCGTATTGCGCATTGAGGCGGCTGAGGTTGCCACATTCCCCGCGCAGTGGGCGAGCCGAGGCTGCAGAGGAGGGTGACCGCGGTGACCGCCGGTGCAGTGAGGCCTTGGCGACGGGCCCCTCTGTGTCAGAGCGCGCCTGCCGCGGCAGCGACGACGCACGCATGCCGCATGGGTCACGGTCGCCCCCAACGTCGCTCCCGATCCTCGATCGCCTTGTTATGTTTTCTCTGTTTTTTGCTGCTCACTCTCTCTCTTTCTCTTCTCCTTGCCTCGCAGGGGCCTCCGGCAACATAAAGGCGAAGCTGTGGGAGGCCGCGTGGAGGTCACATGTTTTTCCGTCGGAAGGGCGCGCAGGGCGTGTCGCCTGACCTCCTCGGAGCCCTCTCTTGGAGGCGGAGCTCGTCTGCATCCTCATCCTCGACAGCTCCTGTCGCAGAGCGACGCGCATGGGTGCATGTAGCTCGCGCGCGCGCCTCATCTGGCCAGACCGCCTCCTAGGGCTAAGCTCCTCCGCATCATTTAGCCCGCCCCATCCCAGCCTCCGCGCTTCCCGCTCCTCGAAGGATGCGTATAGGAAGTAACGGGAGAACCATACGCATCCGACGGTCCGCGCGGATTGCTTGGACTTGCGCTGGGCCCCCTGGCGGCGCCTCAGGCGCTGGCCCTGGCGCGCTCCGCGTGCCAGGTGAGGCGGGTCCAGCGCCGATCCAGGCACTCCGCGCGGCCCTCCGAAGGTTGATGCGGATGCCATTTCTTCTTCCTCTGTTCCCACTCTTCCCCTCCTCCCCCTCCTCCTCCTCCTCCTCCTTCTACTCCTCCTCCCTCTGCTCCTCCTCTCCTCCTCCTCCTCCTCCTCCTCCTCCTCCTCCTCCTCCTCCTCCTCCTCCTCCTCCTCCTCCTCCCCCTCTTAAAGCCTCCCCACTCCATGGTGAAGAGTCGTGAAGAGTACGAGTGAGCAAAGGCCTAGGGCGTGAGGTGAAGGGCGAGCGAGTTCAGACCTACCTCTTTTGCCCCTCCTGCTCTTTAAAGCCTGATCAAAACTCTTACAAACCATGCCTTGGGACGCGCAGGCGTTGTCCACGCCTGGCAGCTGCGCACTCCTGAAACGCAAGATCTCACATCAAAGGAGGTCGATCATATAAAGTGTGAGACAGGGGCCTAATTCATATGCATGTGCGCACGAGTTGGTCTAGCATGTCATCTAATATGCACACGAGCAATGAGTTGTGCAGCACTGCGCTGAGCACGCTAAGGCTCACTTAATCCACGAGTGAGGGTATGGACTAGTGCAGAGAAATATGGGTATCAAAGACTGCTGTAGAGGTGGCAGTCAATACACGGGTCGGACTGCTGAACACTGCTGTTGCTGCTGCTGCGCCCTCCCGGAAACGAAAGGCAGCAGCTGCAATCAACATCATATGTACGAGGTCGCCTACCAGCCACGAGCACGTTGCTGGGTCCATGAGCCTGTCCGTTCCAAGCTCAGCGCCACGGGTCGGACATAAGAGCAATTGGGAACCACAGCAATCAAAGAAGACGTAAGTGGTGACGCCAGCGTCGGCAAAGCCGCCGCTTTAGAGGGTTTACCCGCTGCTTGACTTTCTCATACTTTCTGCGGCCTGTCTTCTCTGAGATACTGGCAAGGGACCTGGCGAAGCCGCGCTTGTACTTTTTGGCAGCGTGCTTCTCCTCTCAGGAGGGAAAAAACGCACAGACACAAGTAATCGTCGATTCCCCAGAAAATATGGGAAAATATGAGAAGTAGGGGAGAAGACAAACCCAGAAAATATAGGAACATATGGGGAATCCGGTTATTAGTGTGTATTTTTTTGTGTGTCCCAGGGCCCCATTCATCCTCACGATCACGGCACGTAGCTTGCAGTTCTCGAATTTCAGATCGTGTCGGACCCACGCAGTTTGCTGGCAGCCTGGGCAAGGCTGCATCGGTGCAGCGTGAGGTTGCGACGGTGGGGCACAGTGATGCTGGCTGTAGTCCCGCCGGTGGTCATCTTGGCGTGCACGGCTGGGAGCGATGGGTCTCCCGCCTCCACCACGTCCGCCTCCCCAGCCCACGGCACCGAGGGGTACTCGGAACAGGGAGGACGAGGAGAGCGAGACATTGGAAGGTTCGACGCATGTTACGATTGCCGCGCGCACCGCGATCGTGACGGACAGGGTGGAGAGGGCGGGGAGGAGGTTCTGGAGGTCGTTCGGACTGAGCTGACACAGACTCTGCAGCTCACAATTCTCCACGCCTCGGCTGGAAAGCAGGCGTCCAATCAGGCGCGCGATCCCCAGACATCCGGGAGCGTGCCCTCGCGGAAGCGCGCGCAAGCTTCTGCCGACCTCACTTCTGGGCCAGCACCATCGGACCAGCTCGACAATCGGGTCGACCACGGCACTTCGCCCTCGCTCAGGTTTTATCACCGCCACGGCGTTCTAGCTGAGAAGCCTTTCCCAGACCCGCACGTCCAGGAACCGTTGTCTCAGTCAGGAGGGGGCAGAGGGATAGATGGGACACCGGGCAAACTTTGGGCGGGGCACATCTTCCAGCGCAAAATCATATATATATATATATAAATCGATGCCTGGCTCTGAGGAGTGGAGGTGGCCTTGAAGGAACGTGAGTGGAAGGGAGTAGCCTTCGCATGTAAGACCCACATCCTGGGGGAACAATTGTTGAGGGAGGCAAACATGCTTTGGCTACGCAAAATGTGAGGAAGCGATAACGTCATCCACATAACAGATGCCGTGGATCGTGTCTTCTGCCGGGATAGCCTGGCAGGGCAACCGCGCTCTGCGAGCGAAGGGGGTGTCCTCATAGAGGCGCATCCGGGAGCTCCCGAGATGGGCCAATGTTGCCGGCGCTGATGTAGCGTTTCCCATAACGCACCACACGGTGCCCAGGGCTTTTCGATCCTTCTTCACCGAAGCTCAAAAACATTGATTGTCAAGGTGAGATGGTCCAACAATTCACGAACACACCCAGGTCCTCTGGATACACTAGCATCCTTGAACATTGGAACGTGTTAGCTTTGCAACAACTGATGGGTAGTTTGGAACGAGAACAGACCTTGTGACATGGTGCGTACTGCGGGACGTGCACGAGGCGAGATACACGCTGCCGAAGGTTGCTGGGGAGTCAGGCGGGAGACCAAAAGAGTCCAAGTGGGGTCGCCCGACATGCGCTCGGCAAGACGCATGGCGCTAGCATTATTTTGTAAGAAATGGCGCTGGGTTGCATGAGCGTTGGAGACGAGTTCGCGCACGTGGGCGTGTTGCTTCTGACAAACCAGAGACAGCTGCTGAGACACACTTCACTTTGATAGTGAGGTCTGTCTTTGAAATGTGTTCGCGTGCTACTGGGATCTTGTTCCTCCATTTCTGGGGCACCAGCTGACCATCTCTTTTCCGTTGGCGTGTGGTCAACATTGTAGGCGTATAGTTCGGCATGTGCTCGTAATGTTCGTCATTCTCCAGGAATGCCCGCTCGAGTTGCCACAAACACCTGAACCAGGGAATGGCCACGCGCCGGCGTGGATCTTTGTCCACTCCAACCCACGCGAGGTCAGGGAGGGAGGGCTTGAGATCCTCACAGAAAACATGAAGCGGCATCTGCACCGAAGTTGGCCCAGAACGAGATATGGAGCCAACGTCTCAGGGGAGGGCGTCTGCCCCGGACTCGGAAGATACAAATCCAAGGCTACTTGTATCATCCAGGGCCGCTCTTTGTGGGGATGTGTGGCCCCGTTTGGATTCATAATTGTCAATATCGATGCGCTGGCACAGGAACCCACATTGAGCACGCAGAAAGGGGGAGCACACGGTGTTATGCACGAGCTGGTAACACAAGTTTTGTTTGTTAGCACTCGCGGTCGTATGTTCCCACAGCTGCAATGCATCACTGGGTGTGGGTATGCTCCGACATGTGGCACACCAGTATACGTCATGGGAAAGGTAAGACTCACGTGACGGGCTGCTATAGATTAGGTAGTATGCGGGCGGGGAGAAACAAGAGGAGATTGCAAACTGCTGTGCAAGGTAATCGATGTCCGAGGGCTGCTTCCATGCACACACACGGGTCTTTGAGTAAAGGAAGGAGAACTTGCGGGGACATCTTTTGTTAACGAAGACACGCCGACCGTGCCGGATGCTCAACTGGTTCGCACATGAAATGTTCTCCAGGGGAACAATTGCCAGACGAGAGACGTCGTTCCAATTTCTGCCGGGCAAGCATGCGCTGTGTAGGAGGCAGGCCTTTTGCCCAGAGAGGGTGCACTCGACGACCTGCGCGTGGCGCCACATGGCATGATAGTTCAGCCGAGTATCCGGCATGGCGAAGAAGATGGCCTGCCAAGGCTCGACACCAAGCACGCAATTGAGGCTGTCAATTCGAGGTTTGGACAGCGGCAGCTTTTCCTGGCACCACGTCAGCAATTCATCGTAGCCTGCCCGCTTCACCAAGAATCGTCTCCGGAGAACTTGACTGCTTCTGGTACTTGCCAGCACGTCGAGTTGGCACTCACGGGCAATGCCAGGCTTGGGACGTTTTTTTTTTGGAGGGGTCTTCGTGAGGTGCTGGGTGGTTTTCTGGCAGACAGGGCGATTCCCTGAGACAGTCCGAGTGGAGGATCGGACTCCTGCATTTGGGCATGTTGCTCGTG